AAGTGGCTTCTTTCTCTGAGCTGCCAAGGACCCTGCACGCGCCCAATATGGACACAGAGTCTTCATGGTGCCGAGCACCTTTCGGAACGAGGTGTCCAATTTCTGCACTGTGGGGGAATGAGTTCTCCTGTGCTGCAAGGAGAGATGGGGGACAGGGATGCTGCTAAAGGCTGTGCTCCCAAACTGTGGTCCTGTGCCACAGACCTTATTTCTTCATGTAAGCAAGCAAGCACCCCCCATCCCTACACATTTAAGTACCTGTGCCCTGTCACGTGAGCCATGTTCCTCGATTCCACATTCCCCGTGGTACAAGGCATCTCCTGCTGGGACAGGAGAGGTGTAGACATGGTGCTCAGGGACATGGTTTAGTGGTGGGATGGCAGGGTTAGGTTAACAGTTGGACTTGATGAGCTTAAAGGCCTTTTCCAACCTAAACAATTCTGTGATTCTATGAGAAGGTCCAGTGTTAACTTAGAAAATCCCGGGGCAGACCAGACCTGGAGAGAAAGGCAGTCAAGACATGAAGAAAAGAGACTTCTAACCCTCTCCATAGCAAATATTGTCTGGAGGCAAATGTGGCTCTAACACCAAGACATGTGCAAAGCCCATTTGCTAGCATTGCAAGCAGAACCCTTGACCGAGTCTTTTCATTTACAGCAGCCTTTTCAAGGCAGCACCGCTTATTTAATGCAGCCTGGTAATCCTGGGAGGGGGTGTGAGGGCATAAACAGCCGAGCCTGCCGCAGGGGGAGCAGTGCGGGAATCCTTGCTACAGGTACTCAGGTACCAGGCACAAATGCAGGGTATTGATATTGTCCCCAGCCAGGTATTAAATTGGGTTATGATCTCAAAAGGACATGATTAAGATTAATAGGATGTTTCACTTTTTTTCCCCTCCAACATCCAAACATGCCAATGTTGCAATTGAAATAACTTTGAGAATGTAATTGCTTTTACCTTTCTGTGGCTTTCAGAATGAGTATCATAAAATAGTTGGCTTTACTTCCTCATGTTATGTGTTTCTCATGCCATTTAGCACAGCATAAATGTTCGTGCTCCCCCACAGGTCCAGCAAATTGTTTACTTTTACTTTATCAAATCCCTTATTTTTGATTTCTACTCCTCATTTGCATTCATATTAGATTTAAAAAAAAAAAAATCAAAGAAACCTTTCGTATGCATCTCTGAATTCAGAGCGGCTGAACCTCAAACCATAGTGGTGATACTGGGGTTGCAGGGAGGGCTGTGTTAGGGGGCTGCACTGGAGAGAGGAGCCAGTGAGAACCTGGCCTGTGTCAAACTGGTAATCATGAAAATCAGGTACTCGTGCCAGATACTGCAGTGGAAATATCCTTTCATGTAGCAAGATTTGCGCCCAAGAGGCAACGTCAGAAATTTAGAAAAATCAAGCAATTGCAGAGGAATTGAGATGTATGACTCGGCAATGAGACAGGGTGGATGAAATTATGATTTCAAAGATGATTCTGCGATTATGTTGTCTAATTAGTAAATCAGTTCATTTTAACTGCTCGTGCTGTTCAGGAGGGACGGTAACACAGAAGCAACCCATCTTTCTAGGGCTATAGCCCACCTGAGCTTTTATTACATCAAAAGCCTGCCTGGTACTCCATAAAACACAGCGCGTGCTTCTCAAGAAAGGTAATGAAGTGTCCCTTCTTTCCTTCACTGTCTTCTGCACTTGGATTGAGACACACTCAGAGATTTGGGGGTTTGGATCATGCCCGCTGCAGCTGTACCGTTCGTTCTCCAGCAAGTGGGCACTTTCTCTAGCTGGACTCCATCCAGTTGGCTGCCACTGGCTGAATACATGCCATTTGTATTCTGTTGTAAAAATGCCATGAGCTGAAGTTTATTTAGCAAAGTCATTCCTCTTGGTCCGAGATCTATGCTACAGAGAGAAGAAGACGATGTGAATTTTCATAGTTAGGATGTTATCAAAGACTTCTGATTAGATTGCAAAGCAGCAGAAGGACTTCCCTATTGATTTTCCACCCCCAAGTTACGTTACCCAAGTTTTGGGTAAATGTTTTGAAGTTATTTGCCACCTACCAATTGGCAGAACAAAGAAAGGAATCCCACACATGACTCCATGCTGAAGAACTGGCACTGACTCTGCTTGCAACCCCCACTTTTTGTTACTCGTGACAGAGAGAAGACACCCAATATGATGCTAGATTGGGTCTTGCCAAATCACAGACAACTCAGGATGCTATCCTTGCAAGGAGTCTGGAAAGCCAAAAACTGGCAATAGGGAGCAGACCATTTGGCAGACAGTATGTTGTTCTTGGAGCCCAAGTCTGTAATTGTGTCCTGTATCGTCTTGAGAGGAGACGCCAAAATTCCAGTCTTAGCAGGTGGCTTGTAACCGAGTGGAAGAAAACAACAGGGAATAGTGACTGTAAGTTAACAGCAAAAACGTGTGTGGGCCCTGATAAAGTTCTAGAGTTAAGAGATGCCGACATGATGTGAAACCTAGATGAGAGAGCTCAGTTGCATTGGTGGGAAGATTTATACCTTGGATGGGGAGAAACACTACCTTTTCTGAAATGTGCACTTAAACAATATGTTGGGTTAAAAGTGAAAAAGGTAGCAGATTCAACAGGAACATGATTTGTTGGTATAAAAGGTCAACAAGAGGCCTTAGAAGGGAAGGTGTGGGGCAAGCTGTATTGGGAGTTTCATTTGTTGGAGACTTTAAATTTTCAAAGCTGATTTTAGCTTAGAATGTCATGTCATCCGTAAGAGAAAGCAATCGGGAGTGCATGCCTGGCTTTTCATCCTCTACTGCTGATTTATCATTTCAATTTGTCAAGTGATTTATTGTCTGGTCCTTTTGGAGGATAATTGTATCCATTGCCAAAAATGAAAAGGGGTTTAGAATTCCTAAATTTAGAATAGTCTTAATTCTGGCTATTGCACACAGAGGGGCTGATTGAATGCCAAATTTTGGTTCATAATGAAGAGTAAGGGAAATGTCAGGAATTAAGGTGTCTGGATACAAGAGGGAATAAATTACCAACTGGTGTCCCTGCCTTCTGGCTGCAGTGCACGTTCCGCTAATTTCTTGTGAGTTCTTTACACGTTCAAGTCTTGTTCCTATTTTTTAATAAGTCTTTCAGACTAATAGCCACTGTTATTTGCCTTCAGTCTAAGGACTTTTTTAACCATCAGTTCTGACGAGACTTGTTCATAACAATCCAGTTTTTCCTTGTGTGTGTTATAAGCTGTGAATAAAGTTCTGTTTGAGAGGACAGGAACACTTCCTTAGCTGTCTCCCAAGCACTGAAGTTTTTTCCTCCTCCTTCCTAGGGCAGGGAACGAAACAGAGAAGGCTGGCTAAAAACCTTCCATTCTTTCTGTCAATACACTGGTCCAGCATTTAGTCACTCCTCTCTACTTGAGAATGCTCCGTCCTGAAAGACGCTCCTCTCCTCTTTCATGTGCAGTGGTTTCACCTCCAGCTCCAGCAGGAGCCAGGCTGGGCTCTAAGACCAGTATTAAGGCACTGAGACCACGGAGTTTCCCTGCTAAAGCACACTCTGTGACCCGTTCATCTCAGTCCCCATAAATGTCACCTTTCTGTCACCTTCTGTTGTGCTTGGCCTCTGCTGGGGCATCTCCTCACCTACGTTTGCCTTCCAGGTTGCTACAGTTGGCTGCAGGGCTGCGAGTTGGTGATTCCTCCTGCATGTGACATTTCCTCACCTGATTTTCAGCTGCCTTTAGATTTAAGCCTTGAGTGTTGGATTTTGCTTGTAGTTTGTGTCTGATGCCACCCTTTTCATTAGTGGTAATATAGCAGTTTAGAAGTTGCTGCACAAGCTTTGGACTATTTCTGGAACCGATTTGCGTGTGTGCACAGCAGTAGGATTTTATGCTGCAAATTCTCTGCAGTCTTTTGATATAAACTAGTATTTCGCCTCAACAAAAGGTCACAGATAAAAACAGAGCTGGACATTTAAATACCCAATGCCTTGAGACTCATCCCTACTGCTGCTACCGCTCTGTTGGATTTATGGAGAGTAAAGCTGTTTGCTGGACAGTAAATACTAAAATGTGATTGTTTTAGCTACGGACAGTCATTAAATATTACTGAGTTTTAGCAAAAGCTTTTCATAATGAACTTAATACTGCCATTGCACGTTACCGCTCCTTCGTGTGAGCGCAAACTTGTGTTCACTTTCATATAGTTATGCTTTTTGGCTGTTGGACGATGCAGGTCGCCTTAGCCCATAAACTTGGTGGTGGATGGTTCTTTGGTGTGGGTGCAGCCCCTGTACAACCGACCTTGCCTGGGGTGCAGGGTCACATCCTGCACACAGTTACACTTCAGCGTGCAGCGAGCTTAGGAGGTTAGAAGAGGGAACAGGGCCTGTACCTGGCACAGGGATAAAACCATGTTAGAGTTCTGTCTCTGTAAATCAGATGGGATCCCTGTTTTTTTTGTTCTGTGACAACCATTTCCCCTTTTCCACCCAATACACAGAAATAGAATTTAATACCTCCTTTTGCTGACGGGTAGGTAAGGTGTAGGAATAAGCAGGACTTGATAGAAATTGGAGGAGACTGATCTCTCCGTTGCCCACCAGGCAGTGCTGGTGTGGCCCTGCCAGCACCCCAGGAGGCTTGGTCAGTACGGTGAGGTTAGACACCCACACAATCAGCCATCGAAGCAGCCAGGGAGAAGGTGGAGAGAGCTGTGTGAAGAATCAGATCTGGCCAGGAGAGCGACAGGGAGAGGAGGACACCCCCTCCCCCCCCAACCCAAGCTGCTCACAGCCCAGGTTGCCCAGGCTCCATAGCAGCATGTAGAAGGCTGAAGCATGCAAAGGACATCCAGCCTTTTCTGAACACGCTGTTCCACTTTAAACCTCAAGCACATCTCCAGTGGGTGGTTGTTTAGGGAATTGTGTTCCCCTCACCATTATCATGTCTCTTTTTCATCTTAAGTGACTGATCTTTTTGCTCTTTTCTCCTAGATCTCAGACCTGATACGACAAAGCACAAAGGAGTCCCCGGTCTGGGAGTTCCTCAGCTTGGGGTATGCACTCATGCTCTGCCCGTTTGTCGTTGTCCTAGGAGGGATGTTTTTCCTGGCCACAGCACTCTTCTTCCTAAGTGACCGAGCCAAAGCTGAACAACAGTGAGTAACCTGGCAATTGCAAATGGGGAGGTACCGAAGCCCGTTTTCTGTCTTGAACATTATGCTTGTACTCTTTCCTTGGCCTTGGTCTTTCCAACCCCGTAAAGAATGCGAGGTTGTGTTAAGAACCTCAGCTCAGCAGAGTGCATGAGGCTGCACGAAGCACAGGGGCTTGGGTCATGCTGGCTGGGCATCCTTCACACGCTTTGCTCTGGTGGATCTCAGTTGTTGGCCATACGGCCTGGAGGGGAGCACGGTATTTGAGATCACAGGCCCATTTACCCTTGCGTGAGCATGCCACAGCCCAGGCCGTCATGGTGAGGGGTTGCTGTGTGCTGGAACCAGTGGACTGCCAGGTGAAGAGCAAGAGATACCTTACAGTGGTTGGTGGTCAACTTTGAGCCCACAGTCCCATCTCAGCCCCTTCCAATACACAGGAACATCAGGCAAGAAGGAAGCAAGCTGTGTATGTGGGGACATACGTGCTCAAGGGTCGCTGTAGTAAAGACAGTCTTTCCCAGTCCCTTATTGCAGCCTGTAAAAAAAAAGCTACTGTTTTTCAGTAAAGAAACCGATTCGGACCACCTCACGGTTGGCAACTACAGTAATTCAGAAGACGCTTCCACATGACATACAAACTTCTGGGGTTAGTCTCTTTCTCATAATTGTCAAACAATACGAGTAACTATGTATAATGTCATGCTGAATGTGTGGGTAGGTGACTAGCCTGCTGTTGACTATAAGTTGCTTTTGCCTTTCTCCCACTGGGAGAATGGGAGACGCACAGACATACAATGTAGATGTTAGCAGCCTGTTGTAATTCTGCAGACAAAGAGAGCTTGCTGTACCTTAAGGAGAAGGGCCCTGGCATATCACTCACTAGACGTAGTGCAACTAGAAGGAGAATAAGGTGTTTGGAGGTTGACATAAGTGCGTGAACAGTTTGGGTGATACTTTCTGGCTCCCGCCATCATATCAGATGGATGCAAGAAATTTGGAAGCAGTGCCACAGATGGTGCTGTGGCCCTGTAAGAGCAGTTCCACCTTCCTTTTCCTAACACGCACAAATACCAGAGAAAGGAAAGGTTTTCTGCCTCCTGGTGCCTGTAGATAGATACAATCCCCCTAGAATGAGGTCTTGTTTAAACATTGTGGAAAAAACAAGACCTCGTCATGTATCTTGTAAGGAGGTTAAGTCCTGCATTCACAGAGTTGGTAATTAAACTACACCTCTACGGATTACTTAAATGGATTCACACACGCATACATACACAAACATGACTGTATCCATTTCATATATATATATATGGGCATATCCGCTAAAAATCTCCCTTGAGTTCAGTGAAATACATTGAATGCTTCAGCGTTTCTCAACAGGCAAAGGCTGAGCCTCAAGGAGCAAAAGGTTTCAGCCCAGGCTCCACGGTCAGTCTTTGGCAATGGACCTCTGACTTTAGCAAACCTTAGAGTTCATGAGCTCTGAGAGGCATCCCACTCCAGAGGGAGGTGCTGGTCACAGCCCGCTGTGGTCCAGGAGAGCTCAAGGGGCCTTCCGCTGCAGTCCAGGAGAGCTCAAAGGGCCTCATGTAGGACCACTGCTTTATAGGGTCGTGAGATGATTGGCTTTAGTCATTGGTAAACTGTCATCCTGAGCACAACCCAGCTGGAGATTACTGAAACTCCAGTAACAATGGTACCACTCCGCTTGGGTTGTGACCCAGGTGAGGTGTGCTTCAGGGCTGTCAGGGGATGACCGATTGTTCCTTGTTTTGTCCCCAGCGTTGACCAGTCAACTGGTGTTTTAATACAGGCAGTGCCTCTCCCGCCTCAGCCACGTAGGAGTTTCTGGTACGATTAAGGGGCGCCTGACTGACCAACTCCCTACACAAAGGCCGAGGTCTGCCAGGGTGCCAGCACACTGATGTGTGCCTGGTTTGTTATCTGTGTATAAGGGCTTTAAATTGCAAGAAGTGAGGTTGGAGATTAGACATTAGGAAGAACTTCCTAAGTGAAAAAAGAGGTAAACGCTACAGCAGGTTATTTGGAGAAGACATGAAAGCTGTCCCATGTTTCTGAAGGCCTCCCTGGCTTGGTCTTGAGTCAGGAAGATGGGAACTGCTCTCTGGCTGCCTTCCAGTCCTATTTCTGGAATTGTGCACATAAGCTGTACATGCCAAGTCTAAGTAGTGATCACCTGGGGACACGGCAAGATGAACATCAGTTTCTAGGTGCTCAGGGTGGCTTTTTTTGCTGCAAGGAGCCAAAAGTTCTATTTGGTGACAGGGTAGTGATATGGTGCAGCAGATGAAATCTCCCTCGTGTAGCCACAGCGTTAGCCTTTGCTCAGGCCCCCCACCTGCTTCTAGGAAAACTCCACTGTTTGTCTTCACGGTATTCAGAGGGGAGAGCACTCGTTCCACTTAACTGATAATTACAGCGGAGATACGGGTCTCTGTGTACCACGTGTGTTGCCAGCATGGCGTGACAGCATCTCAGGTGGTGAAGAAGGATTTCAGTATTTGGGTACTGATGAATTCCGGGTTGCTCCCATCTTTATCGGCATGTCTGACCCCACCTGGAGCTTTATACTGCGCAGTGCACCGTGGTATCCAGCTCCAGTGGTGCTCCCAGGGAATAGGGCTTTCTAGGAGGTGCTGCAGGTCACAGGCTGGTCGCTGACTGGTTGGCTCTGCTCGGGTGCCAGTGCTGGCATATTTTACAGTGCACCAAAACACCAGCTTTGCAGTAGCATTATTGTGGAAGGGAGGTCACATCCCACGGCTCTGCTTTCTCCTGCATAAAAGTTTATTTCTGTCTGGTGCTGTCTAGCCAGAGCAGATCTGGTTGTACTCTGTTCACATCCAAAGCATACCAGCTTCCCAGCCAGTCACTCGTCCACACTTTGAAGAAACATATTCAAGCTTCAGACCTGGTTTAGTTGCTCTCTCTCTTTCAGCATCCTTCCCTTTCCTGGTCTGTCTGATTTACGGTTGTTTATGGATGTTGTATTACTCAGCCATGGATCCTTCATGTTGCAAACCAGCTCAGCTACAGAGGGAGAACTGTTGTCATAAATAATGGTTAACAAAGTGATTTCTCCCAAATGACTTCTACTGCACCGTTTCTGGGATATGCCCACTCCCATGTTAAAAATACACTGGCGTCCTACAGTCAGATTCCTGGAGAGTGCAGCTTATTTCAGGTTTGACACATTACTGAACAGTAAGACAGGATCTTTAATAAGGTTGGCAACTGTGGAGTAAGGCTTCTCTCCCTGCCACGTGCAGTGGTGTCTGTGCTGCCGACTGGGTCCTGTCTGCCGTTGCTGACAGGTTCAGTGGTCTCCTCGGAAGAGTTTATGGGGGAGGATTTGTTCGTTATTAGCTGCATGCTTGCCTGTGAGAGAAAAGATGACAGAGCATTTTGCTATTAGCAATTTAAAACTCCACGCTGGACTCCAAATCCGACGTCCAGCTCCCACCTATCCGACAGGCCATCTGCACTTGGCATTTCACACCTTTGGCAAGGAGAGCGTTCTGCCTGGCCAGTCCTCCCTCTCGTCCTACCTATTACTTGCTGGGTACAGGAGAATTTCTTTTTCAAGATGCCTTGTTTTCCCTCTGCAGTCAGTCATGCTGCTCAGACAACAGGACTTGGAAATGTGCTTTGCCAAAAGAAATCAATTAGCCTGCAGGAATCACAAATGCTGGTGTCACACGCCAGAGATTAAACCCATTCATCACCAGTAGGGTCAGGGCACGCAGGGCAGATGTCGCAGACCTCTCTAATGAACTAATATGGAAGCAAAGAGGTGTAACGCTGCTCTCTGCAACTCTGCCCATGGAAACTACGCTTCCCCTGCTTTAATGCCCATGCTTCTGTGAAAAGTAGTTCAGGGCTTTACTGCTGGGATTTTTTCGTTTGTTTGTTCCTTTGTGTACTGGTCTCTGGGCGTTTGCTCAGAGATAATTTCTTCTTCCAGGCAGGACAGAGTATCAGCATAGCAACCTCTCTTTCCTGTAAAGCTTCCTCCAGTTTCCACCACGCTTCCTTTCATAAGCAGAATTTCCAGGCTTTCAGCACCTCGTGACTTTTTTTTACACTACTTTTATCATTGCCACAATTCCTGGCATATTTTGTAGATTACTTTTTTAGCACAGGAATTCCAGTCAATAAGGCTTCCCCTGTCACAAAAAAACACTCATGAGAAAAATTTCTTTGTACAGCAATTCATTTTTTTTAAATCGCGATTCTTTTATAACTGTTTTCATACTGTTTCAGAAGTCTGACAGCTTAAAGAGGCTTTTAGTGAATTTAGGACTAGCAGAGAACACGGTACAGTACATCACTCTGTAATATAATACAATCATTTTTGGTGCAATTTTTATAACACGCATTTAATCCCACCCTTCCAAAGTGATAAGAGGGAGAAGGTGGTTAAGAACGGTTTCTGTAAGAGCTCCTATGCACTAGTAATAATAAGTATTTTCGTTCTTTTTTTAAACCACTCAACTACAATTACTGCTGGGATTTCACTTGACTGTATCGTTGTTCCTTTCCTGTTCTGTAGTACTGCAGTGGAGGGTTGAAGCAGTCATATTTTGTTTCCAAGCATTACTGCACTCTGTACTGTATTTCTTTGACCTGCTTGATGAAAATTTATGAGACCCAAGCTATGCTTTGACATCCTCTGGAAGACCATACATACAGTATCTTGCCATGGCACAGCCCTACAGAAATGGAACAGAAATCCCATGATCTTAGTTTTATTCCCTAGCTCCATCACCGATACCAGTGCAGCCTTGGCAGATACCAGCCAGAAGGCAACTTCCAGAGGTCAGGAGTACTTCGGGTACTTCACTCGTTGGATGTAAAATCTCAGCACTGCTGAGAGTTGCATCTGTGGTCTGTCTGTGTCCTCTTCTTCACTCATAATGCAGGTAACTTGAAAAAAAGTTTTTGCTGTAAATTCACGTGCCTTCAAAAGCCAAGGACGTCTT